GAGGCTGATAACTTACATAGTATTTTAATCTAATTTAAAAACTCTAATGAATTTTAACCTTTTGGTTATTGTGATTAGAATGGTTTCAGTCTAAACATGAAATTAGTCAGAATAACTGAACTTGTGTGTTTTATCCTCCAGGTGAAGTCCGCATGCCTTCTGGTCGAATGGCCCAACCTCACATCACCGACAACAAGGACGGGACAGTTACTGTGAAGTACTCGCCAACTGAACGAGGCCTCCATGAGATGGACATCAAATACGATGGCAACCACATCCCAGGTGATCCCTCCTCAGTGAATGTGTTCTGTTTCTGAGGCTCACATTCTTTCGTCTTCAGCAGTGTTATCAGCAAACAGACTGACTTTCAACCTTTAATGTGAAAATCATTAAACATCACATTAACACACAGCTTCTGTGTGCTCTCTCTGTTACAGGAAGTCCACTCCAGTTCTATGTTGATGCTATTAACAGTGGTCATGTGACAGCATACGGTCCCGGCCTGAGCCACGGCACCATGAACAGACCAGCCACTTTCACTATAGTTACAGAAGATGCTGGAGAAGGTAGCCCTCATATGTACACTAGTAGATATAAGAGCTGTTTAAAGCCTGAGCCCAGTTCTTCTCGGGCACAGACTGTTTATGACTGTATCTTTTATCTGAAATATGAAATGTGTATTTAATCAGAAGAAGACACCATGTGAAACTGAAGATAAGAAAGGCAGTAAGTGTTCCCACTCTTTCTACAGGAGGTTTGTCTCTGGCAGTTGAAGGTCCATCCAAAGCAGAGATCAGCTGTAAAGACAACAAGGACGGGACATGCACAGTGTCCTACCTGCCCACCGCACCTGGAGACTACAACATCATCGTCAAGTTTGATGACAAACACATCCCTGGCAGCCCCTTCACTGCCAAGATTACTGGTAAAAAATTCTCTCTCATCGGGAAAGTCGGGCTTTTATCCAGACAGCTCAGTTTTAAGCAACACTTTTTAAATTATTGTTCATCAAAAAGCAGCTGCAGCACCTATGACATTGTACATTTTTCAGATGATTTTAACAAAAGATGTAATTTGAATTTAATGTGTAATTTTTCAGAACTACCTCCAAAAATGTAGAAAATCTTCTTTTAGGAACACTAACATGCGTAGCTTGAATATCTTCACAATCAATACCTTTCAGTATCTTCAAAACACATTATGACTATGAAGCACGTGCAGAAAAAGATACTTGGTGTACTTGGTCACATGTGGATTGCCTTTAGTTGATTTCTAACTCTGTACGCAGACAACACTCTGCTCTATCTTCCTGTGGGACACCAAATTTACAAAACCCTTTCCAATCAAAGCAGATATAAATGATCAGATTTTTCTTCAGCTAAATTCAGAAAATAAATTATCCAGCATTTTTATCTTCAGTATTCATCATTTACTCCTGTAAAAGGTTTCACTTTAACTCTAACAGCTTTAAAGTGTTCTGGAAAGTTTCTTTGTTTTGTCAAACCATGACGTGGCATGTGTTCTTCTTTTGGTTGTCTAACTTCTTGTAATCATCCTTCCTTGTCATTATAATATTTCCTAATTACATTTAACCTCCTGACCTTCACTGGCAGACACCTGGAGAAATACAGGGGAAGACACGCAGACGAACCATTAACTAACCGAGGGAAACACAAGGCTTAAATAGACAGACGGATAACGAGGGAATGAGACAGAAGGAGAACACAGCTGGGAGTAATCAGACATGACCAAGGGGAAGCAAAACTCAATACATTGACACAGGACGCAGACTTTCAAAGTAAAACAAGAAACATAACAGACATGGACTTAACTAGGTGAGACAGCAACCATGGAACACAGAAACCAAAAGACTAGAAAAGATAAACAATGACAAAATCAAAGTTCAATAGTAATACAGAAACAAAACACTGGGTCACAGACCCAGAACAGTGACAGTCTAGGTTTTTATTTAATTGTTCCTCCAAGTCTTGGCCATCAAGGAACAGAAAAAGTATCTATATATGAATTATATCTATATTTACACATAGATTATTCCTGTCTGTCTTCTTTTTTGTGTGGTACGTGTATGCAAGTGCTGAGGCAAAGTGGGGGTAATGATGAATATCATAAATCAGTAGAGTGCTGAGCATGGGGTAGGGATTAATCAACGTGTACATACTTTTCCTGCTCCATTTTGGACTTGATGATTAAGTGGTTTATTTCATGTCACTGAGATTTTCTTTATTGTATTTTTTTGTGTACATATGTGTGTATGCAGGTATCAGTGTGTATGTTTGTATATGGTTTTTGTTTTGTCAGACATAAAAGCTCATCCTCATAATCAAAACATTCAAAACATTCAAAGATTTTCTGCTTAAGTGGTCCAAACTCTGGCATCGAGCTGTGAATGTTGATTTAGTCTGCATTTGGAGAGCACATTCCCCTGCCGAGACACCCTCACCTTTTAAATTTCCTGAGCTCCTTCTCGTCATGCTCCACCTTTCAGTGTAGTTTTTTTTTTTTTTAATTAGTCATAGTTGTTCAGTAAGCAGCACCTGTTACCCACGGTACGTCCATCACATGCCCAATCATTAGCTTTATTTCTGTTTTCAAATTGATGCCAGTTTAGTTTATGTCATTGCACGTTGTTTCGTTTGTGTCGATGCCGGCTTGTTTGTGGGTGCTCTAACCTGCATGAAAAGCTGCAGTATGAGTAAAGTTTGGCTGATTGAACTAAGCAGGTTTTCACTATTACTTTGTCTTCTCACATTTGATCTCCAGGTGACGACTCTATGAGAACATCCCAGCTTAACGTTGGCACAGCAACAGATGTTTCCTTAAAGATTATGGAGACGGACCTGAGCAGCCTGACCGCGACGATCAGAGCTCCGTCAGGAAACGAGGAGCCCTGCCTGCTGAAGAGGCTGCCCAACAGACATATCGGTCCGTTTCTATTCTTCACTGCTTCTCAGTCACCCTTTGGCAAAACGTGGACCAAAACCAAACAACAAAGAATCTTTATTATTATCCAGATTTCATCAAATATTTGGTTTTCTAAATATTACATTCTTCAAATTATTACCCAGTCAACAAAGCTAGCTGTCCATCACTAATTGATCGGTGATAAAATTACCTTATTGTCCCTAAATAATAATAATGTATTTATTAGGACTTGAAAGGGAAAACCTTCAGGTCCTGAAGGTCTGAAGCAGGCCAGATCTGAGACTTTGGTTCATGTTTTTGGAGGTGACACAGGTGTGGGGATCAGAATATCGCCACAGTCAGCAAACACTCAGTTTTTACATCTTTCTGGGTTGAATACTAGCTTAGTGTTGGCATGCTGTGTGTGCAGATGTTAGCAAAGAGGTGAATTTGTGCATATGATGCAGTTGTGTCTATCCTGGATGCAGTTTGCACTTTACCATTGCGTTCTTGTCCTTTTGTGCAATAAAAAATAAAGTCCACATCCACACTGGAAACTGCCCAACTATTTTCTTCCTCTGACACACAAACTGAAATAAGCAGATTGTAGCGTGCAAAAAACGATAAACGGGACAGGTAGGCAGATGATTCAAAGGAACTGAACTACTCAGATCTCAATTCCCATTCCTACATGGGCATGTGATTTTTCTACAGTAAAAAAATTTGCACAGCTGTACAAGAGACTCCACGTTTCTGATAACATGTCTCTTTCCTGCAGGAATATCCTTCACACCAAAGGAAGTTGGTGAACACATGGTCAGTGTGAAGAAGAACGCGAAGCATGTGACCAATAGTCCGTTTAAGATCATGGTGGGTCAGTCAGAGATCGGAGATGCCAGCAAGGTGAAGGTTTACGGTCAGGGGCTGGTGGAGGGACACGTGTTCGAGGTGGCAGAGTTCATTGTGGACACAAGGAATGCAGGCGAGGATTCAACCTTCATCCACACCTTCATCTGAGCTGAAGCTCAGGAGTTCAGATTCTAACCCTCGATGTCTGTGTTTGTGGCAGGTTATGGAGGTCTGGGTCTGTCCATCGAGGGTCCCAGTAAGGTGGACATCAACTGTGAGGACGTGGAGGACGGGACGTGTAAGGTCACCTACTGTCCCACAGAATCAGGAAACTACATCATCAACATCAAGTTCGCCGACCAGCATGTGCCAGGTACGAAAAATTATTCCAAGTTTGATTTGAGGCAAATTAGTTTGTAGAAAGAGAACGTACCACTGCAGACGGTATAAAAGATGAATGCAGATGCCTGAAGTAGTTCTTGGTTGAATTAAAAGTACAAAACATTTTCCTCTAACTACCATAAAGAATTCAATAGATCATCGGTTCAGATCCGATCTAGGTGTTGATCTGATGCTCTGGACAAAGCATGAGGGTCTCAGAGTTTCAGCTTTCAGTTGTGTGTTGTGATGTTTGTGTGAACAGGAAGTCCGTTCACGGTGAAGGTGTTTGGTGAAGGTCGGATGAAAGAGAGCATCACCCGGAAACGTCAGGCACCCTCCATTGCCACTGTGGGGAGCACGTGTGACCTCAACCTCAAAATACCAGGTGAGCTGTGATATCTGCTTCCTCCTCCTCCTCCTCCTGTCGGCTCCTGTCCTCCCTGCTTCCTTCTCTTCACCTCCTCGTCTTTGTCCACTATTTCCTCCTCCTCCTCCTTCCTGCTTCTCCTCTGGGTCGCAGGAAACTGGTTTCAGATGGTTTCGGCTCAGGAGCGTTTGACCCGGACATTCACCCGCAGCAGCCACACCTACACCCGGACCGAGCGGACGGAGATCAGCAAAACCCGAGCTGGAGAGACCAAGAGGGAGGTGCGGGTGGAGGAGAGCACGCAGGTCGGAGGAGATCCCTTTAGAGACGTATTTGGAGATTTTCTAGGGCGAGAGAGTCTTAGTGGCTTCAGCGGGATGCCGACCGGCAGCCGACAGCCACTTCAGAACGGTGTGTGTGTGTGTGTGTGTTTCCAGTAAGTGAGAGTGGCTGATTTAACAAAGTGTTGTGCTGTAATGGCCTCCCATGCTAACCCTCTAACCTGCTCTGGTTCTTCCAGCTTTCTCACTTCCCTTTGTCTGCATTCTGCTGTCAAAATGTCTGGATTAAGGTAGTATTGTTATTCAGTCTGACCTGATGTGGGCACTGTGCCTAATCTCAGATACAGCAATAAAGAAATGTGTTGGGTTTAGTTGCAGTAAAAGGAAAGAGCTGCTTACAGGTTCAGCAGTCATATCATTGGTCAGATAAAATAACTTAAAGGCTCAAACAGTACAAATACAGCCCAAAAGTCCAGTTCAGAGACTTCTGGGCTGTTGGAGCCTCTAGTGGACTTTTGAGGAAAAGGTTTTCTTATAGGTTAATGGTTGCTGTTGTTTTTGTTGACTGAGATGTGGAAGAACTGATTTCTGTTCATCTTTAAGACTATTTTAAAGCAGAAAGACAAAGACAAACATCCATTAAGCATATTAGTAGAAATACACTCTCAAGTAAACATTTTAAACTTGTAAAATTATTAAAAGATTGCAGTTCAAGTATTTATCATCACTATTTCTTATCAAATTCTTCATAAAAATGTATTTTTACTAAATGTTACTATTGAATGAGATTTGTTCAAACTGAACTAACAATTAAAAAAATAAGAGGATCTGGGATTGATTCCTGAGGAGCTCCACACCTAATTTTAGCTACTAAAAATTACAAAATAAACATGCTATAGACCAAAAACCTACAAAATCTAAATCGGTGACATATTAACCAGTGCATGATGCGAGATTTTTTTTTTTTTTTTTGGTGCATGCTATGTAAAAACTGACTATGAAACATCTGCTGGATGAATCATCTGATGCTCAGTAACATCCTCCTAATCCTGTCAGGTGAGGCAGCTAACCAGGAGATGACGGCTCAGGTGACGAGTCCTGGAGGAAAAACAGAGGACGCAGAGATCATTAAAGGAGAGGAGAGCACCTACAGCGTCCGCTTCATCCCTCAGGAGATGGGACCTCACACTGTCAACGTCAAATACCGGGGCCAGCACGTCCCTGGGAGTCCCTTCCAGTTCACTGTGGGGCCCCTGGGAGAAGGAGGGGCCCACAAGGTCAGAGCAGGAGGCACTGGACTGGACCGCGGAGTGGCAGGAATCCCAGGTGGGCTGTAGAATTTACATTTGTTCCTTATCTCCTCTTCTGTCCTTATGAACCAGTTTCTTTTTGCTTCTTCTGTAAGAACTTTGATTTCATTTGAGTCTTTGGATGAAGAAGCATGCTGCTCCTACATGTCAGCAAGGTTTGATCACAGGAAACACTAAAACATCCATCTGTGATGTGTCAAATGAACTCTTAAAACACCCATGCTCCTAATTTTGTTTCACTGACGATATGTCTGCTATTTCAGTTCAATTTTCAAAATTTTCTTTAAAAAAAAAAGGTCCTCTAGTGGCCACCATAGGAACTGCAGCTCTCACAGTTTGTGTTGTTTTGCAGCGGAGTTCAGTATCTGGACCAGAGAGGCTGGTGCTGGAGGTCTCTCTATTGCTGTAGAAGGACCCAGCAAGGCTGAGATAACATTTGAAGACAGGAAAGACGGATCCTGTGGAGTAATTTACGTAGTGCAGGAACCTGGTAAGTCTCAAGAGATATTTGGCTTAAGCCTCTGAGATTTATTTCAGCCAATGAAAGAAGCCTAACATATTTCTGTGTGATGTTATCATTTTAATTTTAATACATTTAATACTCTCTGACAGTTTTAATACACTCTGACAGATTATTGCGCTGTTTATTCATTTGTTTTTTGTTTTGTTTTTATTCCTCTGATTAATTGTCACTCTTTTCACCATAGCAGCAAGACAAATTCCTTATTTGTGTGAAAATTTGACAATAAACATCATTAGGATTCTGTATCTGATGGTAAAGGGTTTGATCTGCATACAAACTTATATTCCACAAGGTTTCTACCTACATAGCAACAAAAGGCACAAGCCTGGAATCACTACTTGAATTTTATCATTCCAAATATTCGCCCAGGACCAGTTTAGTTCAGATCCATCCATGTCACAGTATAATTATTGTAATTGTAAAAGTGTAAGCGTGCTCTGCCTCTGGAATGATATTAAAAA